ACAGAAGAGCTAAAGGGCACAATCAGCCAATTTGACCTCATAGACATATATAGAACACTACACTCAACAGCTGCAAAGTACACATTCTTTTCCAATGCACATGGAACGTTCTCCAGAATAGACCACATCTTACGCCACAGAGTAACCCTCAGCAAAATCCAATACACTGAGATAATACAAAGTATCTTCTCTGACCACAATGCCATGAAAGTAGAAATTAACAACAGAAGAGCAAGGAAAAAAATCAATTACATGGAAACTGAATAACACCCTTTTACAAACCACTGGGTAATAGAAGAAAGAACAGATGGAATCAAAAAATTCCTAGAATCAAACGAGAATGAAAACCCATCATATCAAAACCTTTAGGACACAGCAAAGGCAGTCCTTACAGGGCAATTTATAGCAACAGATATACACATCAAAAAAGAAGAAAGGGACAAAATCAAAACATTAACTACAGAACTTGAACAAGTAGAAAGAGAACAGCAAAAAAAGCCCACAGCCACTAGAAGGAAATAATCAAGATCAGAGCAGAAACAAACAAAATAGAGATAAAAAAACAATAGACAGAATCAACAAAACCAAAAGTTGGTTCTTTGAAAGGATCAACAAAATCGACAAACCACTGGCCAAACTGACAAAAGAAAAACAGGAGAGGACGCAAATAACCCAAATAAGAAATGAAATGGGAGACATTACAACAGACCCAACTGAAATAAAAACGATTATAAGAGAGTATTATGAAAAACTATATGCCAACAAATTTGAAAACCTAGAGGAAATGGATAAATTTCTAGAAACACACTACCTACATAAACTAACAAAAAGTCATGTTGAAAATCTGAACAGACCATAACAAGAGATTGAAAAGGTAATAAAAAAAAAACTCAACAACAACAACAAAAAGCCCTCGCGCAGATGGTTCACTGGAGAATTCCACCAAACATTCAGAGAACAACTTATACCAGTACTACTCTAACTATTTCAGAACTTACAAAAGGAAGCAACACTTCCAAATTCATTCTATGAAACCAGCATAACCCTGATACC